TTATTTGACAGAGAGAGACACAGCGAGAGAGGGAACACAAGCAGGGGGAGTGGGAGAGGGAGAAGCAGGCTTCCCGCATAGCAGGGAGCCCGATGTGGGGCTCGATCCCAGAACCCTGGGATCATGACCCGAGCCGAAGGCAGACGCTTAACGACTGAACCACCCAGGTGCCCTCCTGCCTCGGTTTCTGGCTCTTTCCAAGTCCTTTTCTCTGGCTTGCAGTCAATTCCATGGGCTTCTGATGGTTCTTCACTGAAGTCCCTTTTTGCCTGAGTTTAGCCGGAATGGGTTTCTGTTGCACCCGCAGAACCCTAACTGTCCGAGCCGGCACTAGTGACTGGCTTAAGATCCCTTAATTTAAGATCCCTTAAATGTTTCCTCCTGAAACTGCCTTTGATTAGTCCTTTTGAGATCCCATCAGACATACTGCAGTGTTTTAACTTGTTTACTTGCCCCTCGCTTTGCTCCACTCGGGCCCATCTTCCTGGTCTACCGCCAGGTCTGTAGATGGTGGCTTGGCGGGCTTAGTGATGCGTAGGGTCACACAGCTGGTACGGAAGACCCAGGTCTGCCCAAGTGTGAACCTAGCGCTGCTCCTGCTGCAGCAAGCGCCACCTGGCCAGACGGTGTCAAAAGTCGTTCTAGGCGAAAGGACCCGGCCTGCCAGCGATTTAATAAGTACGTGGATTTGAGGCGCCAGATCCTTTTGGTGCAGCCCATGATTCAAGTAGCCCCCTTAAATACTGAAAATAGGTGAGGATATGTAGGAAAGACAGAAGTACACCCTTTTGCTGTTCTCATTATAAATGGATCCAGTCTTTTAGAGAGCAGCTTGGAAATACAAGCGTTTAGATAATTTATATTTTATTTGATAATCATACCTTCGAGAGGCTATTCCTTAACACATTGTAATACAGATGCATGTTCAAAGCTGCAGCTCGCATTCCCATTCCCCGTCCAGACCTTCTGTCCATGGTCTCTCCCATGTCGGCTGCAGGGAACTTATTAATCCTTGGGTTTCTCACTCGTAATCCCGCGGCATTGTCCGTATTTTCAGAACACAGCCCGAGTCTGACCACTTTCAGCTTCTCGTGCCTGCCTTATTCCAGTAGCCATCCTTGCCTGCTTGTAGACTTATTTCCAACTCAGCAGCCAGTTGGATTCTTTCAAAATATAAACCATACTTTTTTCCCTGCATAAAACGTTCCAGTCATTTCCTTCTCACTCGGAGGACAAGCTGCAATTCTTGTAGCAGCCCCTGTAGCTTCAGGTTACTCATCTTTGTCGGACCTCCTCTGCTGGTCTCCCCTTTGCCTAGCCACTGCAGCAGCAGCAGCCTCCAAGTTCCTAAGCCAGGCCAGGCCCAGGCCTGCCTCAGGGCCTTTGCACTTGCTGTTCCCGGTCTGAAATTCTTCCCTAGATAATCATGTGGCTTGCTCCCTTAGTTCCCTCTGGTTTCTACTCAGACATTATCAATGAAACCTCCCCTGAACACTGAAATATAAAATTGAAACACCCCATTGTCTTCCTACACACTCTACATTCTTCTCCTCCCGCCTCCCTGCCTGGTATCTCAGAGGAGAGAGTTAAGGAGTGTACATCTTTTGGCAAACAGTTCCACTCCTCATGATAAACTCATGGTCAGAAACAGTCTCAAGGATATTGCTTGAACAAGCCTCTTTATACTTTTTTTTTTTTAAGATTTTATTTATTTACTTGACAGAGAGAGAGCGAGAGAGGGAACACAAGCAGGGGGAGGGGGAGAGGGAGAAGCAGGCTTCCCGCCGAGCAGGGAGCCCGATGCGGGGCTCGATCCCAGGACC